GGGGGGAGGGAGGCGGACACAGAAATCCTGTCCAATTTACCTCAGTACTGAGACTAAAAAGAATCTTTTATTGTTTAATAATTGCAGGCTTAAGAACATTTTCATTGTGGATAACAATCAATTTAGTGGAACTGTGGTAGGAATGAGAGCTGACCAAGTACAGTACTACTGGCAGTAAAAATAATGCATGCTGTTTTCCTATGCAGTTTACCTTGTTGCATTAGCCCTTCCCATCCCTTCATGCTCTCAACTGTCACTTCAGTTGGGGAATAAAGCTCTTCCAGACTTCATCCTAAATTTGTACACTGCTATTTTATTTGATGACCCAAAGAGGGGAAATGAGTCATTCTTGTGCAGCTTCCGTCAACGGATGCTGGCAAAGCCTGCTCAGGTACTGACAGGCATTAGAGCCGGAAGCCGTACCTCTTCTCAGAGGCTGCTGCTGGATGATAAACAAGAATTCCCAGGGGGAGGTTGGTTGGAAAGGAGTATAAGAGGAAGGAAAATAGAAAAGGAAAATGCACTGTTCCTGTGTTGCTTGGAAAGTGAATCATAGGATTCGTGTGCAGCTCGCAGGCTTTGTGCCTAAGGACGTTTATCTGTACATTTTGCTCTCTTATAGGTAAAGATTTTTCTGCATAGCGATACTCATGTGGTGTTTATAGCACGGCTCATCTGTGAGTCAGTTGAACTTGTAGCTTGTGGCCATCACAATTTTCACTTAGGAGTTTCTTGCTTGGTTTCAGACAGACTATCCCCAATCCCTACGGGCATCTCAGCTGTAACGGTGATGAAACTGCACCTTCTCTTGTGTCCAGCTATTCAGGAACTCACTAAGTCACCCATGCTGACAATTTAAGCTACTGACAGATCCTGGCTCATCTTCCAATTTCTTTAATTCTGGTCAGTCTCGGTTAGACCTAGACAAAGACGAGGAACTGCAGAGATAACAGGCTTCTATTTCTTTATGGCTTATGGCTGTAGCCAAAGATCCACCTCCCAGCTGTCTCTGCTGCGGCAGATGGCAAAAAGCTGCCTGCTGCAGGGACAGACAGGATGATCACAAAGGCCTTTGCTCCTGTTTTATGAAAGAAACTAGGAGATAGATCAATGACTGATTCCATGGCTATGGCAATGGAAGGGTGCTGTTCTGAAACCTCTTTTTGTAGAGTCTACAGCAGACTAGGGTGATGAAAAGTCATTTTAGTTAGCACACGTGCAACATACAAATGATAGACTACGGGAAAAGCTGAATAGATGATTTCCCTCCCCTAGTGAAACCAAAACCTTGGCTGGCTGGCTAGTTGGCTGAGGCTCAATCCATCTAATTGCTTCCATCATCTAAGATGACTGAGCAAGTTGTATCAGCCCATCAAGTTTTAAACTGTTGAAAGAGGGACTCAAATTTGAGTGAAGTGTTCTAGCAGAGGTTTTAGAGATCAAAGCAAACAAGGGGCATAAAAATGTATCATTAGTAGAAGATGGAGACAGCAGCCAGTTGGCAAATCTGTGCAACAGCAGCAACCTTCTGTATATAAACTGACTTCTACACTACTTAAAAAATTCCCACTGTGTCTTACCATTTAATGTTGCATGCAAAACCCTAACTGCAAGATACATTTTAACACTGTTAATATTTTAAGCAACACAAGTCAGTTTAACCTTGGAAAAGCCTTTTCTGTGATCATGCAAGATTCCTTTCTTTACCTTGTGGATATGGCCACATCCACTCTCCATTTAAAGTCCTGGACACTTGGCAGCCTACTTCCTTGTGTCAGAGTTGTGCCTTCAGAAACAGGACGTCTACCAAGTAAATCAGAAATGGGAGATTAAAATGGAAATTCATACAATAAACTACAATCTAAAGAGAAAATAAGATTCCTCACAAACCTGCATGGAACTGATTTCTCTTCTACATCTATTCTCATTTGGAGAAGCTTGAAGGGGTGGAGATTTTGTATATTTAGGATTGTTGTGCTCAGATTACCTGTTTTTCCTATACTTAACTACGGTCCCTATTTAAAAAAAAAAAAAAAAAAGAGAGAGAGACGAAGCTACCCTGTGTAATTCCGGTAAACTGAGGCCACTATAGAGTTTAGTAAGAATCATTGTGGTGGCTGGCATATCCATTACTTCAATCCTAATGAAACTAGGATAAAAAGGGATCTTCATGCAAACCCAGCACAAACAGCAGGAAGAAGCAACTGTGAACAAAAGACGGATGACTCTCAAGTAAAAAAGTTGGAATAAGCTCACTGTGCTCCTTCAGCAGAAAGCACCTAGTATTAGCTAGCGGTAAAGTTCTAAATATAATGATATCAGAGCATACTCTGAAGCATGTAGTAAAAAGTCACATAGTGGTTCTTGCTAAATGCAACATCTTTTACAAACGAAGTTCTTTATGTAATGTTGTTCACTGCCAACCCCAGCATAACCTTTAAGATTTTTGTCTAGTCTAACATGTTATAAGCCAAGACCTTCACTGATTACTTGTATTGCAGCAAGAATCAGGCTCATCAAGCCTTAGTTTATTTCTATTAGGAAATGCGGTTGACAGTGATTAAACTTCAGATGCTTGACAGTCTTTAAAATTTTAATAGCATCTTAAGCTCCTGCTAAGTAAACAAGCCAAATCTGATACAAAGACATAACAGCCACCCCTTTTTAGGTATACATACAGAAATATCTTCAGAATGAGCTCACTCAACTGGTCCATTAGGGAGCTAGTCTAGACTTTGCGTTATTTACCATATAGACCAGACAGGTACAGGTTTTTTTTTTTTTGTTTTTGTTTATTTTAAAGTGCCCTGTGTCTCTGAAAGTTATTTACGGTACATTTCAAAGCTACTCCAGCTAAGGGCAGGATAAGAAATTGTACATCCTTTATCCATGGTGCTAGACGTAATCTAATTACAGACTTTACATCAGAAAGGAATCCTCTCTGAACAAATCAAGAACTGTAGGAATGATAGTCTAACATCCCTACTTAGGTTCTTGTGTGCAAGTTACCTGCTGCCTTTAGAAAATGCCCGGAAAGATTAACGATTTGATAAGGTACACAGAACTGACAGGCTAAGATCCTCCAATACCCTTGCATGCAATAGAGGGAAGAATTTATCCTTTTCTTCTTTGGAGAGTGGGGTGTCATAAATAACACACATTCCTAGTAGTATGGCAAAGGAATAAGCAGAGAAAATAGATCAGCTCATTCTTACTCACTGTTGACTACTAGATAGGAAGTAGGTCACCAAAGCTGGGTGCAACCATGAGAAGTGGGAGCCTAGAGTCATCATTATCAGGATTAAACAATAAGAATAGGCCTTTCCCTGAGTGATGAGTTGCTGCCAGGGTATTGCTCAACTTGGGGAATGTCTGAAAATAGCCACCCTGCTGCCGCTTCCTTAAGTCATACTAACTTCCATCAATGGAAGATGGTCTGTTCAGTTCAGCACCAGCATTTTGGGGGAAGGAGAAGTAGAGAGAACAGAAGAATATTCTAGTTAGGGGTGGCGGGAAAGGACAGCAATGCCTGAGTACGGATGGAGTTTCTGAATTTTGTAAAGTTACGGAATTTCTGCGGCCAAACTGCAACACTTCAATTCTGGTCAGGACTAGACTTCAATACCATTCCTTCAGATAGGGTCAGGGCTTTTTCAGCTGAGTTTCAGCTTCTGTCAGTACCTCCCAGCCTGGACAGGATTGCAACTGGAACTGCAAGAATTCTATAAGGATGACAGAACGTGCATAGTGGCCAACATAGAGGGAGTTATACAGCCCATTAATCAAGTCCCTGACTTCTAATAGGAATAGGAGCAGAAGAGACTCAATGGGTCTTGTATCCAAAAGTAATAGAATATAATTATATTTGATAAATGCTCTTTGCCAACAGCCACAACACACTATCAGCACCTGTCATATTGCAGAATGCAGGACTTAAGAGTGAGTAAGGCAACACGGATCAGTTAGAGATGACGCAAGTTATACTTGGAGAAGGATGATACATCTGTGGACAAGAACAAGAATTCACCTACTAAAAGATGCAACAGAAGAGCAATTGAAAATGAAATATTAGAGAATTTGGTGCAGCAACTGACCTAACAAGATCAAAACTGAAGATAAATTCTGAATGGTTCCCTACACACGGGACAAGGTATACCTCACAGGGCGCTGAGCATAGAGAATGTATGAACTGGTAGGTGTCAAACTCCCTCAGATAGTACACAGAACTCACCTCCATGGTAGAAACTAAAGCTACACTATTTAAAACAATTGTAGCACATTTATTACAAGCTTTCAAGGAGGCAGAAATCATGACAATCCATTACGTTAATAAAAAAAAAAAAGTTTTAATTTCCTGCAGTTATTTGATAGTGTCAATTTGGTAGTCTATATAGCTTGAAGGATCTGGAATTAGGGGGACACTGAAATGCAAATGTTACATTTCCAGCACTTCAGAACTGTTGTGTAATGAACAAAATGTGAAAAAAAAAAAAAAAGGCCAGGAAAAGTATTAAAAAACCCTGAAATTGATTTTTCTAGGTTATCTAGCTCATACTGAATTTTTGATCAGATGCTAATACTTCTCTACCATCACAATCATATATATTTACAACTCAATAAGCATATGTATGATCCAGTGTTACATTTAAGATCGTAAAAGCAGATCGGTCTGGAAATCAACTCTGAGGTGCTTTTCTCTGTTCTCAAAACACAGAGCAAGATTACACTGGATAATCACAGCTTCTGAAATGAGAAGAAGCTAAATTTTCCTGCATCGTGATTTCACAGTAGAAAATAGACAATCATGCATACTTCAAGTGACATCTAAATTTATCTTCTTTCTCCACTGCAAACAATATTTTGCTTTGCAACTATGAATTTTGCATTCTTGACACCTATAATTCAAACAGAAGGGCGAAGAAAAGACAAGAAGGCTAAATTTATTGTTGTTACAAGAACCATTAGCTTTAAACCAAGATCCTAACCAAATAAATTTTTAATTTTGGTAGCATCATTCGGACCCTTGTGAGGGTAACCAAAACAGCTTGGCTATCATTATTGGGATTTCATGCAGAATATCCAGAGCAGTTCTAGGCTGGTGGTGCTATATGCTGAGTGACTTCAACTCTCAAGGAGGAAAGCTTTGCCTATACAAAAAGTTCAAGCAATTTCCACGTATAGAAGAAACTTAATACAGGTGAGCAGAGAACCATACAGAAAAAAGAAATCCCTAGAAGAGGCTGTTCAAAAAGTTCTTAATTTAGTACACCCTCTTGAGCTATTGAGGTATATTACTGGGTAAACGAATTCCAGCTAGCACAGCATTTCATATCTCATTTGTATTGTCAACTCACCCGGTATGAATTTGCAAGTCAATCATTAAGACATTAAGACTTGATGATTAAACACAACCTGAGAAAACTTCCAAGAACCATAGCGTATGTAGCTTGCCTCTCAACAAAGCAAGTCTTTCATTTTTGCTCCAACTTGCAATGGTAATGATAAAACACTTAATTCTGCAGGGCATTTTTCATTTGTAGGTATTGGTGCAACTAACAGAGGATACGAAACATTGGTATTTCCATCCTACACAAACGAGAACTGATGGAATTCAAATCAAAAATCTGTCTTGGTCAACCAAAGAAGGTTTTTATACTCACTGTACTGAAATCTGGAAAGTAACTGCTTGCCCCCCAGTTGTATGCACACCGATTGAAATTTGCAAGTCAATGAAAGAATCCAACAACAAACATCCCATCAGCCCAATTGTGGCTAACTCATTTGAAATCCATATAGCTTTTCGTATCGCGTATACATCCGGCATGCCTGAATTTGCAGTGTGACTTACAGTACGGACAAAATGAAATCATACTGAACAAAAGAAATCCAAACAGCATAGTGTTGCGGCTGAATTTTTACAGAAGCCAGGAATTTATTTTTTTATTTTTCTCTCTGCATAAAAGATAATCTTTTGTTGTATTCATAAAAATACTTGCTTACTTTAATACTACTGTTGGCTGATCACAGAAAAATTGAAAAACGGCAAGACAGCGACTTGCTGTGTATAATGGCCATCTTTTATGTTGAATCAAAATCCTGGGAAAATGTTGTACTCCTTAATTTAGAGAATTTTGTTGTTCCTTTAATAAGCCTGGAGTTTTGCTAGCACAGGTCTGTGCAACACTGCTGACTGCATATTGCATGAAACATGAAAATACTAACCTGTTACCAAAGACTATACTGGAAAAGTCCACGATGAAATCTTCTGGTATCCTTAAATAGAAGATCAACAATACAAAACAGTTCAGTGTTTTGTAACCACAAATATACGGCTTTAGCCACAAAAACTACCATAGAACGCAAAAAATGTCAGCATTTTCTATTTTCCCTTGCTTAAAATTGCCACCAGTTCTTCAGTAACCCCTTCAGTATTGATTCAGTCTAGGCTCTGTTCCACTCAGAGCGGCTCTACTACTTTTTTATATCAGGAACCTTAAGAGCTGCATTCCATCTTTCTTTCCTACCTAGGACAATCTTTTTTGTTAGAGCATACAGCTAATATGGCAAGAGAGTGTTTCAAAAGAACTCAATATTTGCCTAGCCTAACTCTTCTCTCAGTAAACTCAGGAGAAGTTTTATTGGTGGCTCTGCGAGCAGAAGTAGGCCAGCAATGCATGCTTTCAAAAATCCCAGCCTACACATTTCATTTCACTTTTACCTTGAAGTTTAATGAAAGGAGGACAAAATGAATTGCTCCCCAAAAGTGAAACCAGAGACCCTTGTGTAGCTGAGAGCGCTTCCAGAAGAATCATATCTAACACGGGGAGGACAAGCATAAATTTGATTGGAACCATGCACTGAGAGTTGGCTGAACAAACTAACTCGCATCCCATGCGCTTTTTGCCTCTCCACTACTTTACTATTCCTCTGATATTGTGGCTGCCTTATAAACAAGCTGTTGTTGATTTTCAGTTCAATATATCAGACTGTGAACTGCAAAGACTGCAGAGTAAACAACATCCATTCAGCTGCCTTTGCCACAGGGACAGCAGCCTCCTGCAGAGAAGCAGGTTGGACAAGTGGGAGAAGTACCCACCTCAGTTGCCACTGCTAAATCCAGTGCTCATCAGGAATCAGTGCTCAAAGACATTACTCATCAGCGCCTTGAGATACACAGCAGTATATCAAAGAAATATCAAGTGAACAAGTTTGGATAAAACTGAATTCATATTAACCAGGTAGTTATCTGAGGCATACAGGGCAGTGAGAAGGAGGAACTAGACAGTGTTTTTTTGGCTGCATGCATCTTTCTCTCAGAAGGGACAAGACTCTAGTTCTGCAAACACTGCTTGTGCAAGCACACTACCCACCCCTGCAATGACCGAATATCCTCTTTATTTGGTGGAATAGTGGAGAAAGGGGGTTGTAATATGATTGTTATGGTAAGTATCACCGTGCTAGTTCAATTGTAAGGGCATGCATTACTAAAACAGAAGCACTAATGCCACCTTTAAGCTTGCATCGTTTTTGTTGTGTAATTAATGATTTGGTGGAAAAATCTGCTCCTGGCTCAAACAGCTTATACTAGACCGATCACAGGCTAAGCAGATCAGACTCAGAGCATTGTGGGGTACAGGCCCAAGCTACAGACGGTGATCAATTTTCAAAGGATTGTCTGAAAAAGAACATTCTGAAGAAGGGATTCAAAGGGCAAGGAAGAAGGTGTGGGGACATCCCAATCCCGTGTTACGAGCCTGAGCCATAAAGCTATTAAATATCCTGAGAAGGGAGGGAAAAGAGTGTACTCACAATTTAGAATGAATTTATTCTCACTAGCTCAGCCAGTCAGGGGGGAAAAAAAAAAAAAAGCTGAATTTGAGAGACTGCTACTATTTCTGCTGTCTGCTATGTGCCTGAAGAAAAAGAGTATGTTGTGACATGAGATGGCAACTCAGGGAAACCAGCAGTACTGATCTAATTAAAGAGAAGCGGGCATGTCTCCCAGCCTCTTTCTCCATTAGAACTAGAGACCAAGACCAGTTATATCACCAGGACACTGAGAACGATAAAACTTTGTAAGATAGGCCAATCTTTAGCTTCACTGAAGGGAACAGAACGCGGGAGAGGTGAAAACAAGTAATGTGGCTTAGACGTCAATCATCCTCTTCAAAAAAAAAAAAAAAAAAAAAAAAAAAAAAAAAAAAGAATTTTTCTCCCTTAAAATGCACAATGCCTGCCCAAACACTGGGTCCCAATCATGCTAACTGACTGTTGTTCAACCAACTCCATGTGTTCTTCATGCACATGATCACAGAAAGGCCCACAGGAGTCACTGCAGATGGGTAAGTAATTAGTAGGTGCTTTAAAAATGAGTAGGTGTTTCATTTCCAGACCTAAGTGTATTGGGAAACCTAGGAAATGACATTTCCCATAGGAGCCAAAGATGATAAAGATGCCGAAAAATTTACAGAAGTGCCACAACTTGAGAGCAGAATAAGCTATTTACTCTTCTAGAAGTTTAGCCACAGAGTGAGAGCGCTACTCACGGTGGGGGTGGGGTGGGGGGGACTGTCAGAGATGGAAGTTAGGGAGAGTCCAAACAACTTGTAAGAATCAAGTGAACGTACCAACAACGAGCAGCAAATAAAACATACAAGTCTGCAGAGAGCTCAAACACGCAGTTACCTGAACTATTGCTACTATATGCAGTCATGTTAACCAGAGCAAGACAGCGTGCATACTATTGCACTCAAGTTCTTCTGATCTAGGCTAAATCTATAAAAATCTATAAAAAGATCATCCAGACTGAACAACGTCTTCATATTTACATGAATAATCCATTAAAGGGAGAGAAAAACAAACAAACAAAAGAATACAAGAGTACGAGGCATTAAAACACGGTCAGATGACAAGGACAGAGGTCTGGGAGTCTGTACTTTTGGATACAGCCATTGTACACAGCCAGCCCTTCCAGCGGCTTGTGACACTCCTGTTAATCAGCCTTCTCCACTGTTCAACAGAGGAATATTCACCCACCCTCAGAGACCTTGGCATGGAGCTTTCACTATTCTTAATTACTCCTTAAGCACTCTGAACACATTCTGCGTACATCACAAAAAATCCAGCTCCCACTGGATCAAGAGAAATTCATCAGTTTCTCACTGACCTACTTTAACCTGGGTGTGAACTCTGCCGCGTGCCAGAGGAAGGAGCTTGCGTTCTAGCTCACAAGGCAAAGGAAAGGCCAAACTCCAGCAGCGAGCTGCAGACAAAATTGTCCCAGCAAGTAAGGGGCCTTTTACCATAGGCCCCAACTACACCTGGCACATCTGTCTAAATCTGCCCCTTCAATCTGCCTGTGGTTGCTTGGGATTGCTTATAACTTTGCAGAGTAATGTCCGAGGAGAAAGCCAATTTGCAGGCCAACACACAAACAAGGATGAAAAAAGACAGATTTAGAGACATATCTATCAATCTGTATCTCCTAGGTAGTAATCAAAATGCCAAGAATCTCAGGAAATTAACAAGTTTCTCTACAGAGCAAAACATCAGGTGCAGTTCTCATTCTCTCTTGTTATTACTGAACGTGAAAATAAGGGAAAAAAACCCATAAAGATTTTATCTGAGGAAGTATCTGATGTCTACCTTTTAGCACATGAACTTCTATTCAGAGATACTCTGAATAGGCCGATACAGATTTTGACTAAGTCTGTGTAACAAATGTTATGCCTTGTTGGCTAATTAGCACAAGAGATCATAGCTGAACAATGCAGTAGGATTTCACTAGTGTTATATCATTGGCCTTTCAAAGGAAAAAAAAAAAAGTAGGGCAGTTTCTTAGCTTCTGAAATGTTATCACTGTCTTACCAAACATGTTCAAAAACATTGCAGGATAAGGTGGGGGTGGCAGAGAGAAGGTCAGTCACATTTGCATTAACCTACATTATGGATTAAATTAGACTGATCTCCCCAGCATGTGAAATTTATTGCTCATGTTCGGTGCCAAATCGAGTCTTATACAACACCTGTTTTTTTTCCTCTAGCTTCACATGACATTTGGTAAGAGATGTATTACGTGTTATTTACATGTAATTTGTATACCAAGCTTGTTGTGCAAAAAAAAATTGATTTGGGGAAGTAGTTACATAAAAGCTATGAAAAACCAAACAAATTAAACAAACAGGCATACCTGAGCTCCTTTAGGTCTTCTTTAAAAACCTAAAAGGACAAGGAAAGTAAAATTTTACAGGCTGCAGTCTTGAAAGCTGATTTCTTATAAAGTGAATTAATAGTGGTTACTTGTTTGGTACCTCTCCCCAAAAGTTTTAGTCTCAAGCGCTAGCAGTTTTTGTTACATATTGAGAAGAATTTCCAGAAGTATGCAATCAAGTTGTGAGAAATTAACTTTAAAGTCCTAAATCTCTTGGTAGCTTTTAGTTTTAAAACCAGTGTCCCTGCCATTTCTTTTACGTAGCTATCCATAACACGTTCTTCTTTTAGAGCAATTATGTGACCTTATTCTTACATATGCTTTGCAGTAACTTGTTTCAACTATGAGAATAGAGAGGAAGTTGCAAAAGATAAGCTCTGAATACTAAAAGCATACTTTCACTATATCTGCTGCAACATGTGAGCTTTTCCATTATGCCTGGGTAAATATGAAAACAGTACCTTAAATAAGAGCAAGGTGCAAGAAGCTCAGAAGTGGTTCACTCGCATAAAAATAGAGTGAAACAAGAAAGCGTGTAAGGTAAAATAACATGAAAAGGAAAGAAAATAGGCATGAAGAAGGAATAAGGAGTTGGAAACAGCAGATGTATCCACATTCACAAAGAACATCGATATCACAACCAGAAATATCACTTTCTCCCAATTCCCACTATTGTTCTGCCCATAAGACCTTCCTTCCTCTATGACAAAAGTCTGAGGAAAAACAGACACACAAATGCGAGAAACTAAGCGTCAACAAAAGAAGTGGTAGGCGTAACACACAATTATAGTAGGAGAGAGTTGATGCCAGAGAAATAACATTTTGCAATGGTTTCTTTTGGAAGAAACCAGATTCAAGAGTGAAAACAAACACACACAGTAAACAAGATTCTGAAGCAGAAGACGACATGGAAACCTCTTTTCCATAGATTACCCTTCTGACAAGTTCACTGTAAAGCTATACAACATGAAAAATAATAATCTCTGGATTTCTAACAGTTTCTTCCACCTGCTTTAATTTGGAGTAACATTTTTGCGTGGAGCACCTCACCCTTGCAAATAGGGTTTAAATGGTAACTCATGACTGATGCAACTTTAACTTATCAAGGCCCGGAGTACTCTCAGAACTTACTTCTTGTTTGAAAGTTGATAAGGGGAGCCTCAAAGCTTCTCGGAGAAGGGTGTACATGCCAGAAATGAGGAAAGCAAGCTGCTCTTCTGAGAGATTAGTGCTTTCTCCAATGAGCTTGACAGATTCTTTGCAGTCTTTTCCTTCCAATGCATTCACAGTGACTGTAAATGAGAAACCAATGACAAATCCTCTCACAAAGGGGAAGACCTAGAGACTGTGAACATGAACATGCGTATGTCTATAATTGTACTTGACCTAGTATGTTTACATTTTCCCTGATATGAAACTGTCACTCCAGGTGTCTGCAAATACATCCAATCATTTACTATCAAAGGTCAGTCTCACAGCACTTTACCAAGAGAATTTAAATGGATTATGCTTTTGCATTGTAAAACTGAAGACGTTTTCACTGTGGAATTTGTTCTAGTGGGATACAGGAAAGAAGAGACAAAGTTTTTCATCATTCTTTAGTTTAAACTTGAGCTTGTATCAACACACTTGTTTACATCAGAAGTCTGCTTGCAGCTTAACTACACTTTCTGATACGCAGGATAAGAGAGGACTGAGACAATAAACAATTCAACACTGTTCTTCAATGTTTCACATATTAAATTTACATTGCAATGTCAGCAGTGACTAAACATTAAATGAGCAAGGAGGCAAAATTAAACCTTCGAGTCATGTAGTTTGCACAACTGCTGATGGTACAAGCTTTTGAAGGAAATGACTGTTAAGCCTTGTAGCAGTATCAGACACTTAACTGGTCTGGTTTTATCTCACACTGCAGCATCCAATTATTCTTCCTTCTTCCATTTACACGCTGTCTTATATACATTTCTTTTTGTTGTGTCAGCCTCTGTCCTGCAGTCTGATCAGCGTGAGCGGACTGCTGGAGCCACAGAAAGCCCCACTGTGGTAAAAAAAAAAAAAAAAAAAAGACTATCCACACGATCTCATTGCAGGATCATGGAATTGGATTAGTTGGTTACAATGTGACAGATTTACTGCTGGGAATTAAACATGAAAAGTTAAAAATGACTAGCAAGTATTATTGAAAGCAAAGTCTAAGAGATTAGCTTAATACTAAGGTTAAAAAATAGTTGTAATTGAATTCCCTTGGTATTAGGTGGGTTCCACTGACTACTATCTTCTATTTCTGGATAATTCTTCTTCCTTTTTCAAATTTTTAAATGCACATAAAATTCAGTGATGAGTGCTGGATCATTGATATGGCTGAATTCATCTGACACTACCCGCAAGGCAAGTTTGGCACAAGTTTTCCAGAATTTGTACATGATGCTAGTACCAAACTTTCCACGCTGTCTGAAGAAGGCTGTACCCTAAGAGCATGCAACCACCTTTGAGAAGAGGAGAAAGCCTCAATTTACTGGAAAAGTCAAACACAGATTTGCACTGAGGTCTGTCTGTCAGATTGTGCCCAGAGCAGGAAACAGGTTGCTGCCTACTTAAATACAGCTTTGATTTGTCTCTACCAAGAGCAGCATTTTGCTTACAGTTAGCTTACCAGATCGCTTTAGTAACAATATCTGTCTTCTTCCCATGACCAACCCTAAGAACTAGCTAAAAATCCGTATCTTCTTTTATAACCAACTTCTATTATCCCAGAATACAAGATTTTTTTACCCAGTATACCTCACAGAACTTAGAAATATCAGCTGTATAAGTACTGCTAAAAGTAAATCTGGGGAGGGAAGGGGAAATCAACTACCCAAAAATATCCTGTGAAGATCTAGCTGCTGGGTTGAGTTCTCCTTGTAGAAGGAAATATAAAGAAATCAGGCTTTAAAAATAACTTATTAGGTGATTTCATCACACCTAGGATAATATCAATGTATTAAAAAAACTCTTGTGAGGGAAGTGAAGTAAGCATTAGCTGAGCTCAGTTAAAGGAAGGAGCTACAGAAGTGCAAACATCCCTGCTCCTTTCCAAACCTGGTCCTCCGGGGCCTCCCCAGCACCTCCCTGCGGCTGGCCACTCGGCCTCTGGCCCAGGAGCAAGCCCCACTAACAAAGCTTCTAATGTCCCTAAGGAGCCAGCGGTCACAAACCTTTTGCTTGTAGTCTCAAACTTACACTTGCAGTTTAGCCGAGCCTGTAATAACACTGGCTGGATAACCCTGAGATTCTGGTACATGTAATTTTTATATGCTTAACACAGCAGGTATATGAAGCAGCACTTTTTATATTAGTTACTGTTCAGTGACAGTGTGACAGCAACCGTCTCAAAAAGACAACTGGGTGCAAGTTCCAGAGCAATTTAGATATAGTCTATTAAAATTCATCGTGTCTTCAAAGGCAACCGCCCTTCAAAGGAAAAACTGCTGTGTCCTGTGGGCTGTTTGCACTGGCTCTGGTGGAGACAGACTTGGTGAACTAATAGGGCAATGTTTACTTGCTCCAACTTCAGAAATTTTTGAAAGAAGTTTTAGGTATTTTTGAAAGACTGTTTGCTCCCCCTGCAGTACGAAGTGGGTATTGCACACTAAGTTTAGGTGATAATTTACACTGAAATTAAACCCATATGGGGTTTAGGAGATGATCAGACTTCCTGGCATTAATTAATAATAACTTCTTCACCTCCATTGCCCCTGCACTAGACTGTAAATATGGTTCTTTATATATATTTACTCCTTCCCCAAATGCCCTCATCTGTAGTTTTCTTACTCTCAATTACTGTAAAGAAATACTAGGTACATGGCTCCATTTCTGATCCTCTGCAGCAACACTTCTAAAGAGACATATATATTTTTTTTTTTTTAAGAATTGTCAGCTATCAGATCCTTTGAATCCTTAGTGATTCAAATCCTGAAATTAAGTTAGCTGGAAGGACATGACATAAGAGTTAGAGAGCTATGCCATGCTGAGGAGCAGTTGGCCTCACTGCAGCAGGCTGTCCTGCAAAGAACCAACCCCACCCTTTGATTATTCTATGATTATTTTGGAGACTGCAATTTACTCAAAGTGAACAACTGAAAGGCAATATGAAACAGTGATTCTGATTTAGGTAGTCAAAGGTGCCGTGAGAGAACCTCACCAGGCCTACCTTACCACAGGGGGAAGCCTCACAGATAAAACCAAGTCCTCACTTCAGCAAGTTCCCTTATTTTTTCCTGCACCTTATAAAAATGTACATAAGGCCCCAACTTTCCTATCACCTAAACAATCTGATAGGGACTCAACCACTGGCTCTAGGAGTGGGGGAAGGGAAAGAAGAGATTTCAGTAGTGCTCAATGTGAGATTCTGAGGCCATCCATAGCTGTTAGCATCCCATTCTCATGGATGTTAGAGGAACACAAAACATAACCGTGAAAAACCTTCATTTTATTCATTCCCCTGAACGCTAGCTTAGGTTTTCCTGAAGTAAAGGCCCTGGGAAAGGCCGCAGGCCTGTCTGCGGGCAGCAGGAAGCGGAGGAGAGAGGCCGCGGGCCCTCCTCCGCGCAGCTGGGCTCGCCCCCGCCCGACGAGAGGGTCCAAGGCTCCTCGGGG